CACACTTATAAAACTAACAGATATTTAATGTTTTATTTTACTCTATAGGTTTTAAAAGTGTTCGAGGAATTGCTAAAACTTGTTCTTCACCAAATCTACTTCGCCGCCCACAAGTAAATATGTAAGAAATTTTTTTTTTAATAATAGTATCACTCTACAACAAATTGGCCCTATTTATAACTTATGAAAGTTTTGAACATGGTGATACAAAACTGAGTAGAAGACCTAAAGTTTTGAGAGCTATAAAACCAAAGAAGGTAAAAGATGCCCACGGATCACTTTACATGCTTATAGAGGTAAATTTATTAAATAAATTTCTTTTGATTATATATATATGTGTGTGCATGATAATATTTTATAATATTTTGTAGCACGATTTATATTTACAAAGATGTCGTGAGGAACAAAGAATGCAAATGACTTCTGCTATAGAAAAGCAACGTAATATGTTCGACGCACAATATTTAAAGGCAAGTATGAATTCACCTCTAACCTATCAAGACAACAATTATAATTCAACAGGGACCATCATAACTCTGAACGAGCCACGAAATGGGTATAACTTCCATCCAACTCAAGAAAAGCTACAATTTAATAACTATCAGCATTACAATATGGTCCAAGGTTCTACAAATCCATATATGAGTATTGAGCAACAGTCGATGCATGACTCATCAAAAATCACAACTCAGCAACAACTTCAGCTCAACAATCACTGTGTTACCCATGACTCACGTCACAATGGAACGTTTCTCCCTACCACATTACCACCAGTTATCGATTCTTCTCACCAGGTAATTAAAATTTTTAAACACAGAATCCACATTTGATATTGCAATATACATAACAAATCACTTATTTTGTTGAAAAAATATTTTAGTGATAATTGTTTTTTTTTTTCAGGGCACTTCAAGCAACACAATTCCTTTTTGGATGAAACCACTACCAGTACAAACTTATATTCCACATCATACGTATAGTTCATATCCTCCATACAAAACTCTTGAAGTGGTTAGAACGCAACTTAGTGCATTACAAAACACAAGAGCTAGCCGGATTCAAGAAACACCTTCTTGTGAAACCAACTTATCGTCTCCTGTCACAAGGGATGAGGTAGATCCAGTTGATAAGTATATTGATTGGGATAAAGTTAAGGAAATGGATTTTGAACTTGATCCAGTTGAAGTTCTCGAGGCTTTAGGTTTTGGAGTAAGTCCTTAACCTTTGAAATTTTTAAGTCGATATTGGTGTGTTATTTATGTAAAACATAATATGTTTGTATTAGATAGTCATTGAAATATATTTAGTTTTATAAATAAGATAGAACAAAAATACTAAAGTAAATTTGAGTTTAATCTCTAACACATATTTCTCACGAGCAATGGAGTTTAGGGATAACATATTTTAATAATGGCTGACCTTATGTACATGAGTTTGGGGATGGCATTTGCGGTTTATACTATAGAATTGCTTGGTTGACACTTTTCATGGACGGTAGTCGAAGTCCATGGATTCCAGAGATTAGTTAGGGATTCAGATTAATAAATAATATGCTCCAATTAAGGAGGGAGTC